AGCCTTTAAAATAAAATAAAATAAAAAATAAATGTTTTATTTAAATAAATAAATTTTATATAAATCTCTGCTCAGACTAGGACACTAGTACGACAACACAGAGCTTTAATAATAAAATAAAAAATAGATAAATTAAAATAAAATAAAAAATTAAACAAAACAGAAAGCGTAGATGCTTCAGACTGAACTGCAATCAGTAGAGGACCATTTTTGCCATCCCAATGTCTTCTTTTCAATATGGGTATTTAACGAATACATTTGACACACTGATACACTTAATACGTTTCTAGCAATGACATTAGTGGACATGAAAATGCATTTTGACATCACAAAGTATATTTATCATGCATCTCTCTGGAATATTCAATTCTGATCATTATTCTGATGTATATATATATATAATACACGCACACACACAAAAAAAACAATATTATTATACATTTATGTAATATTATATTATTATTTTCTACAGTGGTCTGGACCTCTACATATCACTAAACCTTGTATAAAAATATAAATAAACGACAGTGATGCTTGGAACTTAAAACAACAGAACTATTTGGTTTTACTCAGTTCATGGTGGCATCAGGTTTACATGTAATGATTCTAAATTTTAAACATCACAAAATCCACAAAGTTATTGTTACATGGTTAACCGATGCAATTATGATTGTGAATTGATTCAGCAGACGGCTGGTGAAATCTAATTAGGGTTGTAACCAAAGTACAACGTGTTTTATATGAAAACATCTTGTGCTTTATTTTGTTGCATGTACTCGGCCCTCGGGCCGCACACACTGACTTCACTAATGTGGGCAGGGTTTAAAAAAAAAAAAAAAGTCCTGTTCAGATTGATACGAGACTCATGTTGGGGTCCTGAGCATCCTGTCGGTTTACTTCACAATAATGAACCTGTACATTACTTATTAGACAATTTGGCTTATTTCCTAGCTTTTACAGTTTGATATCTGTTATAGTAATGCTAATATTACTCAATATCTCCAAAATAAGGTCCACAATCATGCTGCTGGATTTGAATGAATCCTCCCTCTTCATTTGACTTTGACCAGCTAAAGCGAGCTCGGCATCACGATTAGAATTGCATCCTGTCTCTTTCTAGCATCTAAGCGGGCAGCGGGCAGCGGGCAGACAGCATCATCCGTTTGCAAAAATAAGCTGAATGTTTGTATAGAGATGTTGGGTTGTGAGCGCGCCTGCGGTGGTGCTCTTTCCATCTCGCCAGCTGCCCGTATTTGCTTAGAAACAGAGAGAGCAATGTGACTGATGTAAACACATTGATTTGACAGTCCTGACTCCAGAAAACAATCAGTGTTTAAATACAGTGCAGAGATCAGAGATGCTTACAGTAAACATCTCATCCACAGGGACCCGGGGCCAGACGACCAACACCATACAGTACAGCAACAGAGACAGTGCGACTAGCTAGAAGCAGTTTAAAGAAAAAATAATATTTAAAATGAACATGAACCAGTTTACATTTTCATTACACAATCCTGGTCTTAATTTAAACGATAACTCATATGCACGTTATTCTACAGGAAAAAAGTCTTCATAATCTTTCATCAAAGTGCATTAAGTCACTCCTCCTCTGAAACGACGTTCCTTTTTGCTTGAGGTCAACTAGGACACAAGCTACTGATTAAATGTTTTTTTTAGACATTTCTTTAGGCTATATTTAAATCTATTAATTTAGTAAAATTAATGCTGCTGTTGAAGGTAATAGAGTAATGGTTAACTAGATTTTATATTTGATATGTATTATTTTATTTATATTTTAGTAAATAAAATAATAATGAAATAACAATAAAATAACAATAAAAAATATAAAATGATCAATAAAAAATAAAAAGTAAAAATATAACGTGTTTTATATGAAAACATCTTGTGCTTTATTTTGTTGCATGTACTCGGCCCTCGGGCCGCACACACTGACTTCACTAATGTGGGCAGGGTTTAAGGATAATATTTTCATTTCACAACGCTAGCGTATGTCTTGCTTAGGTAGATAAAAAGAGCGGCTTTATCCCCGTTCAATCAGTAACTACTGTTATCCGAACCAAAGCACTGAATCAAGTCAATGAGGCAGTTTTAAGCCCAAGATAAACTGCAGAACAGCAAATGCTGTTTATATTTCAGACGCTCTCGTGGGCCGAAGAGACAAGCGTAAGATCCACACAGGGAGAGGAAGGGAGAAACTGAGGATGGAGGAAGTTTCTAGACTGTATCGTGCCGTCCTTAAACACCGTTACGCAGTCTGACCACCTCACCTGGGACCTGACATCACAACACTGAGAGAAAACATCCTCGTATCCTGGAAACAACTACAGAACCAAAAATAATAAACCTTTATAGATGTCCAGACCACTGACTCAAGCTAACCAAAGTCTTATGCCTCAGAACACTTAAAAAAATAACTTAATAAATAAAATAATACCTCTTAATAAATAAATAAATAATTATTAAAATATAATTCTAAAATTATTATTATTATATAATTAAAAAAACATTAAAATAACCAAAGTCTTATTCTTCAGAACACTTATAAATTATTATAATAATAATAATAATAATATAAAAATAAATAATATAATTTCATGGGTTTTTTTTATTAATAAGAACTGTTTTTATAATTGTATGACGATTATTATTAAACCATTTACAGTCAAAACATGTGTAAATTAATCACTTCAATTTATTTAAATAATATATTATTTTTGCAATATAGTAATGAGAATTTGGAAGAGAAAATGTGGTAAAAAAGGCTTATTTTGTTAATGCTAAATACAATTACTTGTTTTGTTTAAATAAATAAAATAATAAAATACAAATTATTATTATTATTAATAATAATAATAATAATAATAAATTAATTACTTCAATTTATTTAAATAACACATTGTTTTTCTATTACAGTAATGAGAATTTGGTGGAAAATTTGTCACATTGCAAAAAATCTTAATGGTCTGAAAAACAGGCTTAATTTTGTTAATGCTAAAAATAATTTCTTGTTTTGTTTTTTTTCTCCTCCCAAGGGTAACAAGTGACCTAGACATGTACTGAGAGACTCACTCATAAGAAATCTGTATAAATTCATCTAGATTTTGACTACCAACAAATAAAAGCCCTGACAGTTTGAGCAGGATCTGTGATTTTCATCAATGACTTCAGCACTGGGTGGCTTTCGCGTGAGATCACAGCACAAGGAAAGCATCTAAATATTGTGGGTCACTTTAAAAACACCGAATGAGAAAAAAAAGCCAGTGTTTAGCTACAGTATAAACCGGAAAATGTGAATATTTCCTGTGTATCTAATTTCGGCCTTAGAAACCTTTTAGTCCTTCTCCGGACCGTCCCTTAACACTTTATCCAGGATTTTTCCACTTTGAGCTGTATTTAGAGCGTGTGTGTGTTTGTGTGGAGTTTTCCAGGCTCAGAGGCGTTTATAGTGATAGGGTGGGGTTGAGCTGGACCTGGGCTATTTTCAGACAGCGGGGAGACGGAGAAACAGACGTGAAGTTTGATACGAGGGACAGACATTAGTGAGTATTCTGAGCTCTGAAGTACAGCAATGAGAAAGTCCAGATTACAAAACGCACGCCAAATCTGTAAGAAACGTAAAGGGTCACACTTTAAAATCAACAGGAAGACAAAATCAGTGATCCTGATCTTATTGTAAACGATTCATCAGTGCACGTTATTCCACTTTTCAATTCTATTGGATTAAAGTTTAGTCTTGCCTTCCTTTTTTCCATAATGAACATACAGTTTCACTCAGAAAACCATCCAATTACAGAAATAAAATGGGCTAAAATATTAATTTACTCAAAACATGCAAAGTCATTTTGGATATGCAAGCAAGTATGTGCAACAGGATATGATGTCATGCTCTTGGGCTTCTGTTTTTGTTTAAATAAACAACAAATAACTAAAATATGACAAAAATACTATACTTAACTTTCCTGTAACAATGCAAATCATGCAGGCCCATGCTATTAGTATGTGTGAGATTTAGATTGACTATTGGTCAAACATCTTTTTGGTGGCACAAAGTTCACTAAAATCACTAAACTGAAAGAAAAAGACAAAACATCTACTGTATGCATATGCTTAGATCTGCAAGCATGAAGGAAGCACAAAGTCTAGTGTGACCAATAGATGTGAACTTTCCTGTCTTGTCTTAAGTGAACATTAAACCTTGCTGACTGCTTCTTTATGAGCACACACACACACACACACACACACACTCTGTGCTCAGTTTCCACCCGTCAAACGACACAAAAGCTCCGAATGTGTGTTTAAAAATCTGTAAAGTTACTGGCAGACACTGTCTGCTAAAATAAACAGTTGTGGCAGCTCCAGCAGTAAGTGAAAGCTCAGTTTGTTATTTTGTTCAATGCATTGGCAAGCGTTATCGAGACCTTCAACACTTATTACCCACCGCTTATTTGACTTCATCCAACCAAACACAGCCATTTCATGTACGATTGAGGAGCACGTTTCTGAAATATTCACAGTGGACATGCTTCAACAGGTCAAACAGACAAAAATGGGATTAATTATTCTCTCAGACGCTAATTTAGATTATGTATGAGCTATCAAACAAGCTTAATAAGATAGAAAACAGAATACACAGGGGGTCAAAAGTTCATTAAGATGCTTTTGAAGAATCATTACGATTTTTTAATGTTTTTGAATGAAGACTCTCCTGCTCACCAAGGCTGTATTTATTTGATCAGGAAAAACAGTAATATTGAGAAATACTGTATAATTGCGATTTAAAATAACTGCTTTCCATTTGAATAAATTTTAAAATGTAATTTATTCCTGTAATGCAAAGCTAAATTTTCAACTGTTTTCAGCACTGCTTATTTATAATTAATTACAGATTCAATAATTAATAAAGATTTATAATTAATTACAGAATAATTACAGATTCAAATGGTCTATTACTCTTATGAGTACAATCAAAAATGACAGAGCATTTTAAGTTCTTTTCACTCTAATCAGGAATCAGTCGCCACCGTCGACCCCAGAGGGTTAATTTTAAAATATATTCATACAGAAAACAGTTATTTTAAATTGTAATAATATTTCACAATATCACTGTTTTTACTGTACTTTTGATCAAATAAATACAGCCTTTGTGAGCAGAAGACTATTCAAAAACTTAAAAAATCTTAAATCTTTATTATTCCAAAACAGATGTTTTGTTAGAAAAACTGAAATAATAATAATAATAATAATAATATGACCATTTCTTTGAAGCACATTTACGAAAGAGTCACAAAGTTTTGAGCACAAAAATGAATCTGTTTCTTTTAAATCATTTTTAAATCAAATAAGTTTAATAATGTAGAAGCTGATGAAAAAATAAAATGCAAAGTGCAAAGACGTTTGGTCAGACAATACAAAAAAATGTAATGTCCTTTTGTACACTGGATATTGATATCATTTAGTATATTTTGTATTGTTTGATTCAATTCTGCAGACTCAAATTGATTAAGTGTGATTCAACATGCTCTAGAAAATACTTATAGAGACGCAAAACAGCGCAAATGGTACAATCTGTGACTCCTGCATTGAGGTCTGAGTGAACAAGAACACAGATCATTCATTCTAATAAACCCAAGGCCAAAAGAAACTGGCAGGACACTTTCATTTGAGGTAAAAGTTGCTGAAAAGCACCTGGGTCTGAGTGCGGGACAACACGTGAACCCCGCTGCACCCGGCCCAAAGCCCCGGAGACTTCCCAAATCACAAACACATGCCACCCGCAAATCACAGTCTCTGCTGCCAGCGCCTAATGAAGAGAAGTGAGTGATTATTGACGTGCGCCGTTCCCCTCGCTCCTCATCACATCCAAACCTCACATGTCTGTGGAGAGATAAAGGAGCAGCTGAAACGGGTTTGTGCTAAAACTCTAGAGAAATGCTCAGTGTAACGGGTTAATTTCTGAATAACTAAAAACTATTAACTAAATACATTAATTAAAAAAATGAATAATTAAATAAATAAATACATTAAAAATGAATGATTGAATTTTAAAAAATGAATAAATAAATACATGAATACAAAGAAAAATGAGTACATTAATTAATACATATACTAAAAAAGTAATGATTGAATGAACGAACTGATAAATAAATAAATAAATAATAAATGAATAAACAGGAAAAAATGAATGAATGAATGAATGAAATAAAAAACTAATGAATAAATGAATGAATGAAAACAAATGAATAAAAAAAATAAAAATTAATGAATGAAAAATACAAAAAGAAACAAATAAGTGATTAAATTAAGAAATATACTAAAAATGAATGAATGAACAGATAAATAAATAAATAAATAAATAAATGAATAAAAAGAAAAAATAAATGAATAAATATATTAATAAAATGAATGAATGAAAAAAACAATGAATGAATGAATTAATGAAATAAAAACTGAATTAATTAATAAATTAATATATTAAAAATGAATGAATAAATTAATAAAAATAAAAAAGAAGCGAAAAAATATACTAAAAATGAATGAATGATTGAATGAATGAACGACAAATAACTAATAAATAAATGAATAAAAAGAAAAAAATGAATGAATGAACAAACATATTAACAATGAATGACTGCATGAAAAGAAAAATAAATTAATAAACTCAAGAATGAATGAATGAATGAAATGGAAAGAATGAATGAATGAATGAATCAAACACTGAATTCAATCAAAAACATTCAAAGTGAGAGTGATCAGCGTGTCAACCTTTTTTACATTATAATTTCATTCCCAGATAAGAACCACGGTATGTTACGGCAACGCCAAGGTCATGGGTTCGGTTTCAGTGAATGCATAAACTGATGAAATGTATACAAGTCACTGTGGATAAAAGCGTATACCGAATACATAAATGTAAGCTTGATTTGATTACATCATTTGCAGTGCATCATGTGATGAGTAGTTAATTCCCTCTTAAAACACTTTCAGTACACAATCTTTTACTTTTGTTTTTCCCCCCTTCATTTTCCAAGTTTAACACGTTTATTTTACAGATAGCAAAACTTTACATATGATCACGAGTTTCCATTGGATGGAAGTATTTTTGGCTCCTAAAACGTGATGTGTTTGTTTTCCGACATGTCAAAAAGCTAACCTTCATTGTGTGCAATGCCAATTAAACAAACAGGATCATATCTAGCGTTGGAGCATGTCAGAGCGCTGGATCTGATGTGTTTGCTTACATTCTGGTGCAGTGATGTCAACACGGCACTGTAAACTAACATTTGCAATATAATTCAGATGCACTGCTGACTGAACTACTGTAAATAGCGAGCGGAGACACTGACACATCACTCACACTAACTCAATGACAGGAGTGTCTGGAGATCAGACCAATAACTCAACAGCAGACAGACAGACGAGATCATGACGTTTGCCGAAGGCCCACATGCTGAAGACAAAAGAACAAGAGAGTTTAACCAGCAACTACAAGAGAATAACAATAAGGCCCTAAAATCAGCTGAGGAAAGTACAAAGCTCTAAACAATCGCCTTAATATGAGTTACTCTGGCTCAAAATTTTATGAAAATAATTTATAAATTAAAGGTGCAGTACCTGTGCCACTAAAGACACCAGAAATGCAAAAGTAATGACCTTTTTAAACTGGTTTCCCGAACACTGCCATTGGTCAGCTACAAAGTTATTTTCGTAAATGAAAACTAAAACTAAGACGAAATCAATTGGTCAAAAAACATTTTCGTAAACTGAAATAAAATAAAAACATCAAAATAAATGAAAAACTAAAACGAAACTAAACTAACAACAACAGTTATTGCAAAACTAACTGAAATAATAATTATCAAAAATTAATAATCGTTTTCGTAATCATTACGTTCTCACCACGTGGTGGAAAAATATATGAGCTGTGTGTTGGTTTAGGTAAATACCTGTAAATGGCGCATCATACACGTGAGGTTATCTGACGGAGAGACGCAAAGCAGTTTAAAGCAGAGTCCTGCATGGGTCCTGTTAGATAAACCTGCATCCGCAGTACATAACAGAACACCCGACCCGTTATCCGACATACATCATATTTTATTTTTACACGTTTTTACAGCGTTGCTCATAACCAATCACACACGATTCTGTTGAGCTTAGGAATGCAGTAGCCAATCAGAGGCGTTCAAACTAGTCATTGCTGAAACCCCAGAGTTTTGTTCAGACTGAAACTCACGAATTCCCTCATCATAAGCAACAAATTGAAGATGTACGTACGATGTAAGTTAAAGATTCATTTATCATACCGTGTATGGACAGCTTTATTGATTATAAGAGGAGTTATGAGTGCTTAAACACTAGCTAGACTGAACGCTCATTTAGAGTGTGTTCTTTCACTGCATGATTCAGTATAATAAAATGCATTTAGAATGATCCCAAAATTCAAGATATGGGGCAGAAAATGTATATATTTATATCATTTCATATAGTTGATCAATATCACACGAAGAGTGACATTTTTTTCGCGCAAAAATCACAAATGTGATATTGATTTTATACAACAGTTCAATAATCAAGAAGTTAATATTAAGAGACTTACGTTTTAGACACCACATTGCCTATTTTTTCCTCTATTTCGCCAACAAAAATGGTTCCAAACAAAGCCACAGTACTGTTTTGCGTCTCTGAAAAACATGACAGTAGTGTTTCGTTCCTGAATGAATCAACCGTTTAAATGAGTCTGTTCAATCGCAATGACTCACTTAACAGTGACTTGCTGCCACCTACTGGCGGTTTTAATTTCACACTTTAAAGTACCTTTTTATATATTTTTTAAATCATTTCAAATATCAGTATTCAACGTTTTAAGATTAAATATCAAAACATTATTTATGCATTTGTAACTGCAAATTAAAGCATTCATGCCTTGCATAAAACAGTGTGTATATGCATCTAAATGCCACTTCAGATGCAGCTTCTGTGTTTCCTCTGCATTGCATGAATTTTGTTGATAATGATTTTATTTGTTTGGTAACTGCCCCAAATGTCGTATTATTCAAATTTACTTTATTGATTTTATTGATTACACACTTCTAAAAAAAAAATGGCTTTACAAAGGTAAAAATAATTTTAAACTTGCTGGAAATGCTGGAAAACTGTCACTGCTGTGAACTGACCACCACACAGAGTCAGCAACACTCTCAGCAAAATATCGTCTGATTATCGATCGTTATCGATAAAATCCCAGAAAATATAGAGATAT